CTATTCACCCCCAAAGTCAATACTTTGTAGAGACACCTTTTGCAGCAATCAAAGCCGCAAGTCTTTTGGGGTACGTCTCTAGAAGCTTGGCACATCGAGCCGCTGGGATTTTTGTCCATTCTTCAAGGCAAAACTGCTCCAGCTCCTTCAAGTTGGATGGGTTTCTCTGGTGTACAGCAATCTTTGAGTCATGAGATTCTCAATTGGATTGGAGGTCTGAGCTTTGACATAGCCATTCCAAGACATTTATGTTTCCCCGTAAACCAACCACTCGAATGTTGCTTTAGCAATATGCTCAGGGTGACTGTCCTGCTGGAAGGTGAACCTCCGTCCCAGTCTCAAATCTCAGGTAGACAAACAGGTTTCCCTCAAGAATTTCCCTGTATTTAGTGCCATCCATCATTCCTTCAATTCTGATCAGTTTGCCAGTCCCTGCCGATGAAAAACACCCCCACAGCATGATGCTGCCACCACCAGGCCTCACTGTGGGGATGGCGTTTTCCGTTTTTCATACCTTTTTTTAAAAAAAACAAGTTATTCTCTTGATTTCACTTCACCATTTTGGACTATTTTGTGTACGTCCATTACATGTAATTCAAATAAAAATCAATTTTAATTCCAGGTGGTAATGCAACAATATAGGAAAAAATGCCAAGGGGGGTGAAAACTTTTGCAAGGTATTGTACTTGGTCAGCAACAATGTCTAGGTCGGTGATAGATGTCAAAATAACATCCACATGAATGGCAGAACCCGGGGTTTCCCAGCAGAACATTGCCCAAAGCATCACACTTCCTCCGCCGGCTTTTCTTCCCATAGTACATCTCTTCCCCAGGCAAGGGGGACCCACGCAACCGGCCATCCGCATGATGTAAAAGAAAAGGTGATTCATCAGACCAGGCCACCTTCTTCCATTGCTTTGAGGTCCACTTCTAATTCTCACATCCCCATTGCAGGCACTTTTAGCAATGGACACGGGTCAGCATGGGCACCCTGGCCAGTCTGCGGCTTTGAAACTGTGTTCAGACACCTTTATATCATAACCGGCATTAACGTTTGCAGTAATTTGTGCTCCAGTAGCTCTTCTATTGGATCGGAATACATGGGCCAGCGCTCACTCCCCACATGCATCAGTGAGCCTTGGCCACCCATGAACCTGTTGATTAAACGGTTTTCCTTCCTAGGACCACTTTTGGTAGGTCCAGACCACTGCAAACCGGGAACATCCCACAAGAGATGCAGTTTTGGAGTTGCTCTGACCCAGTCGTCTAGTCATCACAATTTGGACCTTGTCAAAGTCACTCAAATCCTCACACTTGTCCATTTATCTGCTTACAACACATCAACTTCAGGGACAAAATATTCACTTGCTGCCTAATATCCCCCCCCCCCCCCCCCCCCCCCCCCACCGCTCCCATCCTCTGATACCC